TTTAGGTGTCAAATGCTGCAGGACGTGGTCGCCCCGAGATGCAAGTTTTCGGCACCATAGCATTCGATGACCTATCACGCACATGACCTTGAGCGACACAAACTATCTAGCACCAGCCTCAACGAAGCTATGCTTCGGAGCCAGGAGAGAAGCAAGTGCGACGTGAGCAGTGAGTTGAGCCAAGTGTCAGTTTAGAGCATCAGAAAAGGATGATTTCCAGGCATATACGGCAAGCAAAATGCACAGACACCAAGTAGAACCATGACCTCTTCTCGCCATCCGCTGCGAAGTGAGCCGAGAGGAGCGAGAACCTTAGTTCTGCGTTCCTACACGGCGGGTGGTAGATAGTGGCAATGAAGGATGCCCAGGGGGAACCTTAGTTCCCGCTGTTGATGTCCGACATTTCCAATTTTGTACAAAGAGGTACAGATATCATGCTAGGAGAGCTCAATGTTTCACAGGTTTCACACGGGCCTTGCACGCACCTCTCACCTTTTGCCATTAAACAGCGCCGCACAGACACATGTGACATCCCCTTTTTGGCACCGTGGTGTGCCGAAGGGTGATGGGTCTGCCTCCCCACGGGGAGGTGGTGCCCGATTCACCCTTAGCTGCAGGTTTCTCTCGCTAGGAATTGCCGCCGTAATTGAATTCTGTCTGGCAGCATGTGACTGGCCTTGTATGCGCCACCGGTTGCACGGGTTGTGCTACAAGTATGGTCTTTTCCAAGGATTGCTGCTTAGATCTTCGCACATTCGGTTGGCCTGATTACAACCACTGCTGGAGCATTGCGAGACACCTGACCTGCAAAGTGACCTTGTTTTGCCACACTGTGGTGTGGCCGCTGGTCACCAACACTTGGTAAGGAAAGTCCGTTTGAAGCCTTCTAGGCGGCTTTCCATGAACACAGTTTGCGCTGCAGTCCTCTTCTTTTGCGAATTCAGGCCCACTAGTTGTCACTAGTCTCAGTTTCACACGTTTCACCTTGTGTTTAGGGAAGACTACAAGATGGTGGAGTCGGCCTGCGGGCTTGGGTGTTTGTTTTTGGGTTGGTTTTTTGGGGTCTTCGTTCCGTTCTCCACCATCTGCCTTTCTTCCCTTCCTTCAACGATGACCTGGGCACCATGCCCACACGGCGTCCGCACTCGTGGAAAAAAAAAAGGTTCAACTAGAACATGTCGGACTTCCGTGTGAGAGGAGAAGGCTTGCGTGGGATTTCCACGACCAATTTTGTACAAAGAGGTACAGATATCATGCTAGGAGAGCTCAATGTTTCACAGGTTTCACACGGGCCTTGCACGCACCTCTCACCTTTTGCCATTAAACTGCGCCGCACAGACTCAAGTGACATCCCCTTTTGGCACCGTTGAGTGCCGAAGGGTGTTGGGTCTGCCTCCCCACGGGGAGGTGGTGCCCGATTCACCCCTAGCTGCAGGCTTCTCTCGCTAGGAATCACCGCCGTAATTGAATTCTGTCTGGCAGCATGTAACTGTCCTTGTATGCGCCGCCGGTTGAACGGGTTGTGCTACAAGTATGGTCTTTTCCATGGATTGCTGCTTTGATCTTCGCACATTCGGTTGGCCTGATTACAACCACTGCTGGAGCATTGCGAGACTCCTGACCTGCAAAGTGACCTTGTTTTGCCACACTGTGGTGTGGCCGCTGGTCACCAACACTTGGTAAGGAAAGCCCGTTTGAAGCCTTCTAGGCGGCTTTCCATGCACACAGCTTGCGCTGCAGTCCTCTTCTTTTGCGAATTCAGGCCCACTAGGTGTCACTAGTCTCAGTTTCACACGTTTCACCTAGTGTATAGGGAAGACTACAAGATGGTGGAGTCGGCCTGCGGGCTTGGGTGTTTGGTTTTGGGTTGGTTTTTGGGGTCTTCGTTCCTTTCTCCACCATCTGTCTTTTCTTCCCTTCCTTCAACGATGACCTGGGCACCATGCCCACACGGCGTCCGTACTCGTGGAAAAAAAAGCTTGCGTGGGATTTCCACGACTCACGCAAATTGGCAAAGAAGTTTTCCTTAATTGTGTTGCGCTGCAAGAAGTTGTCATCCCGACGGAGCTCAGTGACATAGGCAACCGTGCATTCTGCGGGTGTGAGCAACTGCAACGATTTACCCCCCTGGATTGGGGTGACATTGAACAGTGGGTGCAGGCAGAGCACAATGCTTTCTTTATGTGTGACAAATTTGAAAAACCCCTGTGGGTAGAGCTGCTCCCCGCGGAAGGACCCGATTCGGACGCTTTTGACGAGGAGCTATACCACGAGTACTCCTAACATCATGCCAGTCCACAAGAGGCTCAAGGTGGGTACCTTAGCATCTATCTTCAGGAAACATCCCTGGCCTTAGGAACAGCCCATGAGCAGACTCAGACACTTTTGGCTCAAACAATAATTGCAAATAGTCTGCCGCACATGGAGCTCGACGATTCATCCATGATTAGCACTCCCCCTGAAATGGAGCCGGTCATGGAATGCTCCCTGGTGCTGACCACGCTTTCGGGGGTGACTTTTAAGGTCTCTCTCAGTGTTGCAAAGTTTGACCGATTTGAGGATCTAGAGGACCAGGTTATGGACTATCTGGCCTCAGTTACTGATCTCAAAGTGTTTGGGTGCTCCATCGACTTTCTGCAAACTGCCACACAGACATACCTTGAGGACCCAATCTGGGACAAGCTACAGCAAGGCATGGCATACACCATTGTCTTCAAGAACTGCAGTGTTATCCTGCCATCACAAGAACACCTCGAAGGTTGCCCTATCCATCATGTTCCGCTAGCCGTTCATGTCCCTATGAACCCAGAAGAAATCGTCCCAGAAGGGGCCTTTGCAGGGGTTCCACGTCTGCGACACGTCAGTGTAGAGTCAGGCATCAGGCTCATTGGAGCAGAGGCTTGGCAAAATTGCCGACAGCTCCGCATTGTCAAACTGCCGGCCACTGTTGTAGGCATTTCCGACAACGCCTTCCGTGACTGCAAACTACTAAACAGTGTCTTGGCTCCTGGTTGTCGAGATTTTGGATACAAAGCCTTTGCGGAATGCTGTTCCTTACAATGGGTGTATGCATCGGAAGGGGTTGCAAATATGTTCAACAGAGAAGCCAAGTTCGGGCAAGAAGCAGCATGGAGAAGCTGTCGACAGCTACAAGTGGTCCAACTGCGAGTCAGTCTGCTGCATGGTGCGTTCAGATGCTGCCGAGCCTTGCGCGTAGACATTGTTCCGGACTGCCAACATTTCGGCCCTGAGGTGTTCGAGGAATGTTGCTCCCTAACTCGAACAGAGTGACGCAGTGCCCTGACAATGTACTTGCCCCCAAGCACAACTGAGGCTCCGTGTGTTTCAAGGATGCACGGCCCTCCAGCACCTCAACCTCGGTGAGAAAGGGCAAGGCTCCACTGTGCCAAACCGGAGTCTGCCTGACTGTTGCTTCTTGGAGGCAGGTGTCGTTGCACTCTGTCTGCCGTCAGACTTTCACAGGATAGGAACGGCTGCGTGCGGAAGTCGCCAGCAGCTGCGAACGGTGGATTTGGCCCAAACGAAAGTCCGTGAAACTTTGGGTTCAACCTTTGCACACTGCGCACAACTGCAACAACTCAGCCTTTCCCAAAACTTGCGAATTATAAAGCAAGAAGCTTTTCTCAAGTGCACCTCGCAGCAAGAAGTCTGCATCCCACCGTAGGCTGACAACGCTTTGACAACAGTAGTGGTGCATTGCTCCCCAGCCACTTCGATCACCTGTGCTAGGCAAGCTCAAGAAAGCTCAGGCTAAACCATCCTTTCGGCTTCGCTCCTTATAGGCGGGCGGTAGAGAATGGCAATGGAAGGTTGCCAAAACGAACCTTAGTTCTCCTTGCAGCGACCACGCCATGACCATTGCTGTACAAAGAGGCACAAGTACCATGCTAGGATAGGTCCATGTTTCACCTGTCTCACCCGGGCCTTGCATGCAACAGGAGACGTTTTGCAACTCAGTGCCGCTCTCTCTTTTTGAAACAGAGAGTACCCCAATGGCACTCCTTGTCTGCTAAGGGGTGCAAAGGTGACCTCCCTACGGGGGGGGATGGCATCACCTTCGTCAGCAAACCGCTTTCGTTGTCTCTGCCTCCACTGCCTGACAATTGATATGCCTCTCGTCTCTGTTGTGCAATCAGTTGAAAGGGTTGTGCAACGAGATGGGCTTTTTCCATGGCTTGCTAGGCAGAGCAATCACTGACTCCCCTGGGCAAGGATCAGACTGGCTGACAATAAACAATGCAGGTCTTACATAGTACCTGATCATCGGTTTGCCATTCGATGCAGTGGCCTCCTTGGTCACAGCTTGGTGGGTGGGGCGAAGCCCCTTTGATAGGCTTTGCTGCACTCCGCTCTTGCGCCGACCATGCCGTCCCACTTTCACAGTGAATTCAGGCCCCTAGTTAGTTCGCAGTCTTTCTCACATGTCTCACCTTGGTACAGAGGAAACACTTTTAGATGAGGGAGAAACGGCCTCTGGCCTTTGGTGGTGTTTTTGTTCTGGGTTCTGGTTTTTGTTTGGTGTTTTTGTTTGGTTTTGGGGTTGCTTGTGTTCTTTTCCCCTCATCATGTTGTGCTTCCTTCCCCTTCAATGATGACCTGGGCACTCCGCCCACACGGCGTCCGCACTCGTGGAAAAAAAACCTCAAGCAGGGCCCCGACGTGAGGAGGAGGGCTCAATTTCCAAAGACATTTGCCTTTAACAAGATTCTGTGTGTGGACTTTCTGTTGATCCAGTTCAAGGAGCAACGGGTACCCATTTTGAACATGATCTGTGCGGGTACCTCTTACCAGGTTGCCGTCAGAGCACCGATGAGCACTACACGCGGCGGCACTCCGGCTTGGAAACTCTTTGTGGAGTCCTAGCAGCGGTACTTTGGCCTTCTCCAACAAATCATTTGCGATAGTGGCAATGAGTTCAAGGGCGCCTTCGAGAGAGGCCTAGAGCTGTGCGGGGTCTTGCAACACGTTATCCTTCCAGAATGCCCTTGGCAGAACGGCAAGGCAGAGAGGCACGGTGGATGGCTCAAGAACCGTCTGGATGCTGAGCTACATGGAGGACGGTGCACTTTGCAGACCTTGGAGGAGATTGATGAGTTCTTGGCGACCCTCACCTCCGTCAAAAATCGCTGGCTGTGCCGAGGCGGATACACTCCTGCACAATTGGTCTTCGGGGAGCTACCTCGGATTCCAGGAGAACTTCTGGCGGAGGACGAGTTGGCTCTACATGGCATGCATGATGCCTACAACGACCCCATGGCCATCGATGAAGCAGCAGGAGAATATCGACGACGGCATCAGATCCGTGAGCGAGCTCGACAGCTGGCGATGCAACAATCTAGCACTGAAGCCATTCGGAAGTCAGTGCATGCGGCAACTCACCAACAGCGACACTGGGCGCCTGGGCAGTGGGTCTATGTGTTCAGGAGGGCCAAGCAGAATCAAGATCTGCATCTTCGAAGTCGATGGGTGGGCCCAGGAACAACGGAACAGTCTACGTGGGCATGAGGACTAGGCTCTGGCGATGCTCCCGGGAACAACTTCGAGCTGCCCTTCCTAGCGAGCTTTTGGGCCGAGATCTCATCTCCAATCCTGAGCTGGGAGAACTACTTCGACAGGTTGTCTCTGGAACACATGCAGGAACAGTTGATGTCTCTCGAGAAGGACCTCCCACAGGAGAAGAGGCTTATGGTCCAGTCCAACGTGAAGAGGAGGGCATTCCCCTTGGACATCCGGTGGAAGTCTCCAGTGCAAGAGGACCTGGTGCGTCCGATCAGTCAGAACACAGTGGACCATCCTCGAACGAGTCCGGCCAGTCTCAGTGGATTCCTCCAGGGTTGATACCAAACATCACCCCAGCACCACGGCAACAGCTTCCTCCAGTTCCGGAGGATGAAGATCTCGACCTCCAGGACTCACTCCAGTACCGTCCAGACGACAGTCAATCAATGAACCAGCCTCGGAGCCTCCAACTATGGCACCGGCAGAAGACTATGACATCAATGAGCTACTCCGCGAAGTTTCTGCCGACTCCGGCGCAAGCCCAGAGGTCATTCCGGAGCCCCCCCAGCAAAGTTGCCAGAACAGACAGCCTGGAGGAGACGCACACTAGAGCTCCTGGAACACCAGTCGATCGACTACTCAGCCGTATCCCGAGAGAGCTATCTCCAGAACATCATCCAGCAGCAGCTTCGTCCTCTTTGACACCGGCTGAAGATTTGGGGTCCGATGGGCGAGTCTCGCGTCAGGTCTCCGAGTTCGAGAATCTCCGCCAGAACTATTACTGCCGCAACGTGATTCCCGAGGACCACGACCACCAGGAATGGAGCGGCTCCTTCTTCAACTACCAGCTCGGAGACCAGATCCTGACAGTGAGCTCGGAGGGGTCCTGGAACTTCATGGCAAAGCGAAATGATGAGATCTCCCTCAAGGACCTGACTGCCGAGGAGAGGGTTCTCTTTGACGAATCCGACGATGTGGAGTGGACGGCAGTGGAGAAGACGGGCACCATCAAGGTTCTCATGGGCAAGGAGGCGAACGACATGAGAAAGAAGTATCCTGATCGAATCCTCTCCTCAAGGATGGTCAGGAGAAAGAAGCCGCAGCCGGAGCTACACTCGTGGAAGGCCAAGAGTCGCTGGTGCATACATGGGCATGTCGATCCGGACACTCAGTGGCTCAGCACCTATGCTCCTACACCACAAGGGGAAGGAATGATGCTCTTTCCCAGACAGCTCTCAACTTGCAGATGATTTGCGCCTTCTCCGACGTCAAGAATTCTGCCAGAGTCGACCACTTCAACGAGAGCGTGGACCTCTCTTCGCCGAGCCCTGCGAGGGACTTCATCTCCCTCCAGGAGCGCTCATTCAGATCGTGGTCCCGGTGTACGGGCTAGATGACGCTCCTGCTGAGTGGCGCCGGACGGTGGCCACGACTTGGGTTTCGAGAGAAACCTCATCGAGCCCTGCTGGTATTCCTTGTTTCATGACGGCCATTGCGTCGCCCCGGTGCTTGTGGAGGTCGATGACTTCATTGTGGCGGCTACGCCGGCTCACTATGAGGCCTTGCGTAAGTCAATGACAGAACGGTTCCACTTCGGGAAGTGGGAGAAGGGTGAGGCAGAATATGCCGGACGACACATTCCAAGACCAGATACATCAAGGAGCAGATCCACCCAGTACAACTTCCCAAGGGACGGAGAGGACAGCACAGCGAGCCTCTGACACAGGAGGAGTTCCAGGCACTTCGCTCCTTGGTCTTTAAGATCAACTGGGTTGGAAGAGAGAGTCGACCAGAAGCTGCGGGCATTGCCTCACTGATGGCCAGTCGCCTCCCAAGAGCGACCATTGGGGATGTGATCATCGTGAATCGGTTCGTCAACTTCCTCAGGTCGACAGCAGAGCGCCCCATGAAGATCTGGCGTTTCCATCCCGAGGAGATGTGCTTCATCGCTGTCTCTGATGCGGGCGGCATTAACATGCAGGGCACGGACCTGGTGGATGCAGAGGGCTTGCCTATGGATGCAACTCAGGGGGCGTGGATGGTCCTGACTGCGGGGGCTCTTCCGCAAGGGAAGGCAGCAGTACGGGCCTCACCAATCACCTGGCGCTCCTCTCGCCTCAAGCGCAAGGTGTTTTCTACGTTTGGTGGGGAGACGCAGGCGATGCTGCAGGGCGTGAACGAAGTCGACTGGCTTCAGGTGATGTACAGAGACGCTGTATATCATGATGTTCAGCTAGCCTCCTGGAGGAACTGTTTGAGCCCACACATGCTGGTGATGCGGGGGCGAAGTCGCTGTTTGACTGCTTGCTCAGGGAGAACCCCAGTGGGAAGCAGGACAGAAAGAGCGCCTTGGAGCTTGCCATCATCCTGAAGGACCTCCAGGAGACACGCTCGATGGTGCGATGGGTTCCGCACCAGAAGATGCTAGTGGACAGCCTCACTAAGCTGGACCCCCTGAAGGCGAACGACGCTTTGCACCAGTTCTTGCGCAGCGGCTGGCTGAGTCTCGTAGATGTACAGGAGGAGTTGACTTGCCGGAAGACGGATCCGGCATACAAGTGACGCAGCCATCATGCGTCCCAGCAGCGACTGCTGTCCGAATACCAGCAGCAGTTGACTGAGTTCTTGAGCCTCTTGATCAATGATAAGTTGGGAGGGATGTCGAACTTGAGCGTAGGTCACCATTCGATCGTTTGATCAAGAGGTTCCTTTTGCATTTCTCGTTGACCTGCCACCGACGGTGGCTCAAGCGGATCAACCCGCTGAGGGAAAAGGTCTTGCGATGACCGTTAGGTTGGGGTAGGGGTGCGTCACAGGGAATCACTTCGGGAGATTCTGGGCAAAGCCGGCCTTTGCCGGCTGCGCCCTTTGACAAAGAAAAAACATGCAGTAGCAATGGCCTCCAACCTACTAGCGATGGCCCAACCTACTAGTGATGGCGTCCAACCTAAGAGCGATGGCCTCCAACCTAATGGATCATTTGTGAGTGCCTTAATGAGCCAGCCGAGTTCGGCTCGAATCTCATGTGTCTCCCAAAAAAATCCTCCCGCAAGAGAGCTTCCGAGTTCGGAATTTCTTCTGATGTCCGGTTCCAGATGTCGAAGATCTTCTGGGCGTGAGTCACAAGATACGATACGGAGAATGGTTTTCAGCGAGGGATGATGGCCAAATTATATACCAGGATTCCCATGAATTCCATGATCCATTCCCTCTCTTCGACCCCTCATGGGCCAAGCTGTGCGATGCCTTTGGTTGGCTGCAGTCTTTCTGGCTAACTCAGAGGAGGCTTCGCGAGGGTTTTTGTTTGTTTTTGCTGTTCTGCTGTTGCGGGCATGGCTGAAGACACCCTCGACGAAAATGACCCGCTCGACGAAAAGCCTTGACTCCTTGCACTCATCGATGGTATTGATCATTGACATCCTTCGATCGTCGAAAGTACTAGATTCGCTCGGCATTGAGAAACCTATCTTGTCCAGATTCTTGAACTGTGTTGTCTCCGTTGGATGGCAGGTTCGCATGAGGATCGGTTCGCATCCACCTTTTGCGCATCTTCGGAGGATGTTCCCAGCATTTTAGAAGAAGTGGAAGTGGAAAAACCCCTGCTTTGTAAAGGAAAACGGTCTTTCCAGAGGCCATGTTCCACTTCGTCGGCAGGGAGAGTATGATACTCTCCCACAGGTCGTGGAGCTCGATGGACAGAACTTCACCTGGGCCATGCGGGCCTACCCCAGGTGGGAGAGTGGGGAGAGTGGGAGAGTGGGCAGTATGAGCATCCCTGCGCACACGGACCCAGCAGCCCGTGTTTCGTTGCTGATCTTGCAGCCCTTGTGGGACAGTCGATTCGTGAGCTAGGCTCCACTGCCATTGGTGTCAGTTTTTGCTAAAGGTGAAGAGTTGCATGGACATGTGGAACATACCTCACTTGAGCAATGCCTCAACTGTGACAACCCGGCACCGTACCTTACTTGGACGCTACTTCGGAAGGAAGATCTTTATCACACATATATAGTTCTTCATTTGAACCATGTCGGATGAGTTTCGATCATCCCGGGGTGGGGCTCTGCATCTCTGCAACTACGAACAACAGGAGTTGGACACACACACACACTGTGCTAGGGGGTCCAAGCACAACGGGAAACAGGTTGACAGAGTGACAGAGTGAAGCGCACGGCTTGAAGTAGCCTTTTTCCAGCTGGGAAGGCTTTTGCTCTTCTTCTATGCACCTTGGTGTGGCGGGCTTAGAGTGATCCGTATCCAATCTCAGAAATTTTGGGGGATCATCAAACTCCCAGCAACTCTTAGCAAGCCTCCTTTCAGCACACAACAAGCCAAGCAATATCCATTTGTGGAGTTTTCCATCCTCATCACCTAGTTGACCTGCTTAAAGCACGTTCGAAGAGTCTATGTTTTACTGGGAGTCTTTCTATCATCAGCGTGACAGCGCTCATGCAGTCATGGAGTCGCGACATTTTCATATATATATATATGTATTATTGTTTTTCTATTGACACGGATTGAAGGTCCTTTTGACTTCATGATTGCAGCCGCAGGTGGTCATTCCCGGAGCTTGGACCCGGAAGTCCGTCGAGCGGCGGCGGAGCTGCAGGCGGGGGGGCACGAAGGACGTCGGGCGGGTTGCACTGAGCGGTTGGGGTCGATGCGGAAGGGGTGACTTGGTTAGCTACTAGTAACAAGTGCATTGCTAGTAGTAACAGGTGCCTTACTAGTAGTAACAATGTTTGCTATTAGTAACAATAAGCTACTAGGAACCTAGTCTGTTGTGATGCTGGGTTTGTTGCTAGCCTCCTGTCATATCAAAACAATGGTCTGTTTCTGCTGTAAGTCGACTTTCTTCTTGGGGAGCCTTGATTCGTTATCGCCCGGCAAGTGTTTTGCGGAAGAACTGCGGTGGTGTTTCTTTCGCAAGGAACGAAACCCTTCTCCAACAACTTCATAAGTTGGAATGCACCCAGCGACCCTCGCCTTGTTGAGAGTGGCAGCTGTGAAGAAAAGGAGGTCGGACTTGCGGTTGAGAAGGTCTCAGTCAGTGGTAGGTCTGGGTGATAGGGTACAAGTGGTAGGTCTGCGGAATTGTTTCATTGCCCTGGAGGTTTTTCTACGGCACCAGGGCAGCTCCACCAGGGTCACCATACTTTTCACCTTCCGATACCACCAGGGCAGCGTGGCGGTCGCGAAGATTGACTCACAGCGGCATTCGCTCCACTTCGGTTCGCTGGCGATTGGGGTTTGTGATGAGTCTAGTCTACTCCCTCCCAGCTCCTACCTAACACAGGTAGAGGCCATTGCTTCTAGGTTGGAGGCCATCGCTAGCAGGTTGAAGGCCATTGCTATTAGTTTATTAGTCTACTCGTTCTCAGCTTCTCCAAAATCCCATGTCTTTCCTACCTAACATAGGTGGATGAAGGCGTTGGTCTCGCCGGACCAGAGATGTGAACGAGGTTGGTTGGTTGAGAGGTTGGGGGAGCAAAACACCAAGGTTGTAGACGTCCTTGGCAAATGGGCAAAAGTCAAAGCCTACCCAAGAGCATAACACCAAAAGTAGAGTTATCCCTATAGATTTATCATGTACATTGCATTTGTGAATAGTTGACAAGCATCGAATGCTGCGTGCTTTCTGATAACAGATGTTCTAATGTTTGCATGAAAAGAACTATCAAAATCATTTTCTGTCATGTGGCCTTCAAACATCATGCTAACAAGGAAATAGTTTGCATCAAAACACCAACAATCGACGCAAACAAACAAACACACACACACACATACATACATAAGCTCTTGGGAAACGCAACATGCCCAAAAAAAGAAGCACAAGTGTGTGTTTGTGCGCGCGCGTGCGCGTAACCTTTGGATTCAGAAGGTGCCTTTTGGCCTTTTACTTTTGAAATCAAGGAGGCAATGGACACTTTGGAAAGCATTGCCCAACGAAGACCTCTCCATCGTGTCGTGATATGACTTTGGGACGCCAAAGTCACCTATCTGCTGCCCTATTTTGACTGTCATTTCCCACTTGGTCCCATTCTTTCTAGAAGAATTGATGGCCGTTATGCGCGTGGTAGCAGCGCGTGGCAGTCAGCTTTGGATTAGAGCCTTCGGATTTCAAGACAAACTTTCGCTCGTTCCTTCGTTTTTGAACTTCTTTGATCTTTGGGATTTGTCAAACTTGTGGAACGAACGAGCTTGGTGGTTGGACCTCGTTGCATACACGCGAACTCTTAGGTTCTTGGTTACTTAGGCCTCTTCTAGTGGCTCATGACATTTCGTACGAACTCCTTTCCCAAGTGTGTGTGTGTGTACTATATATTCACATAAACACACAAAAGTCATATTGATGAAACTTGTTAGGAATTGGAGTTAAAATTGAGTTAAAGTAACTTTTCCATTAACGTACGTGAAGTTCAAAGACAACAAAGCAAATTTGCTGGATGCCCTCAAAATTGAAACAATTCAATGCCATATTGACATTTGACATTTTCAGGTGGGACCCAAGGGACGTGACCAATTTCTTTCGCTCAAGCTGACAGGGAGGTTTGGAAGGAGATGGACGGAGTTCAGCACCAAACGTTTCATGAGTCGTTCTTTGTTTGGAGGATTGTTTTGTTGCAATACTTCATCTGACAGCGGACGCGGGCAGGCGCTTTTGCACATCACTTTGATCCTGGAATGGTCCCTCAAGCCGTCCTTTGACCCGACTGAAAACTCTATTTGGAGTGAGTTGTAGGAGTTCTTTGGGTCTCGGAGACCTTTATGAGGCTGGACTGACGCCCCCAACCAGTAGGTTTTGGTCAATTCTTTTGATGATACATGCACGTTGTGGGCAGCCATCCCAGTAGGCCAATATGCACCAGATCGGTGCCCCCTTGCCTGCTTTTCACATAGAAAGAACCGCCTTGTTTTGATGGATTCACATGGCCTTGCATGGAGTAGCTCCATGTCTTCAGAAAGATCCATAAAATATCCCACCACAACTTGCGATTCTTCAAACAGAGTTGAGGCATAGATTGGCTTTCTATGTTGAAATTGCATGATTTAGCTGCTGAAAAGAGGTTCCCTATGGTTCCCTTTAATGGATGCTCTCAATCATACCCAGGACGCGAGCATGGAAGTGGAAATCGCTGACGAGCGTGGCAACCCAGGAGAAAGAACACTGGCCCCAGCTTGTGCATCATTGATGCTGCAGAACCCGGTATTTCTATGGCGTTGATGGTTCAATATCGTGGATGTCTGGAAATGATTGGAGCCCTGGTAACTTCCTTGTTTCAGAGGAAGGGAACCCGCCCTCAAACGGGACAGAGTTGGGACACCCCCAACTAGGTGCAGGACAGGATCTTTGAGAAGACCTCGAAAAACATGAGAATTGAAAGCCATCCTCTTTCTCACAGAAAGGTGGAGTGAAAGGGAGAACATCAAATTTTTATATACCCTAGCCTTCAAAGACTGAAGCATCATACTTGACCTGGCTTTGTGGAATCTGTTTTTTGTTTTCGTAAAACAATGGTTGTTCCGGAGACGCCTGGCTCTTCACCCACTGGCAGAGACCTGTGGAACGGTGGACCTGTGGAGCACGACGGTTCAAAAAACCGGAGGAATGGGATGAATGGACGCCGCGAAAGGTCCTTCAACCTACTAGCGATGGCCTCCAAGCTACAAGCAATGGGGTCCTTTGTAACCTTCTCAACTACCCGCGACATCTCATCTCGACTCTGAAAAGGAGATGGAAGTGCATGTTCGTTCTTGGAGGGAGGTCAAGAGGCGTTTTTCAACTGGTCCATTTCTGAGGAAGTTGGTCAAAAGGCACAAGGTTGTAAAAACTGGACAATCAGGTGAATCCCCTACAACCTTCACTATCCATTTAGGGTGGAAACAACCAGATTCGTGAAGATTGCCAATGTTGAGTTCCTGTTTGAGCATTTGCCTTCGTTTGTGCAATTGTTCACGTCACCAGACTTACTCAAGGGCAGCACTCAACCATTCGAAGTCGTCATTCGACGGATCCGAGGTTTGGCATCTCTGCCTATCCTGGACTCTTTTTGCTCCAGAAGGGAAGCTATGCTCCTTGATTCCGTTGACTTGACTGGTGACCGTGCAAGGAACATGAACAAAGAATAGCAAAGAGCATGATAATACAACATGGTGGGAAAAAGAGCTGGATGGCAATCGGATGCGATCGTAGAAGATGCTTATTTTAAGCCGGTGTGTATTTTGTAGATTTGACTGGGTGCTTGCAGAGGTCTATTGTGGGCAAAGGTGACAAGACACCGGAGTACAACCAATTCAGCTCGACAGCAGGTCCAACATCTCACCTTTTACCGAATCGAATGTGTACGGCCAGTGCAACTCCAGCGCAACTGCAACGTGGAAGTCGTGGTTTTTCAAGTTGAAAGTCTCTCAACAGGCACGACTTCCACGACTGGCAGGTGACAGCTGTGCCAGTGTGCTTCGAGCCACTGATTTTGCCATGGTGTGTCATCAAGTCACTTTTCTGCAGATCCTCTTTCACCAGCCGCATCGTTGGTGTTCTTGATAAGTTGGTGAACGTTTTGGCATCCAGCACTCCTCCCTCTGGACGTTTGCATGGGGGTTTGAACTTGTTTGTCCGTCAGAATTGGATGGTGAGCCAACCCTCCCAACAATTTGCCCCAGAGAACGGACGTTTTTTCTTCTTCGCTCGAGGAAGAGTTCACCGGGCGCCGCAGTGCGGCAGCCATTGCTGACTGGACCCGCAGCAAGATAGGCCGAGGGATCCTTGTTACTAGTAGCCTACTAGTAGCTTCTTGTTCCGTTCGTAGCGATGGCCTCCACCGTGCGTAGCTTCTTGCTACTAGTAGTGGCTCGAGGTGGCCGTCGTTTCACTTTGCACATGCCGTCGGTCATCGTACGAGACGAAACTCACGAACATTGAATCGGTGGAATGTGGCGCACGTTACCCGTCCTGCTGTGGCATGTTGCCCATTGCGAACCGCGGGTGATGCAGGAGCGAAATGCTTCTTCTCAGGATGGAACTCCAAGGTGATGCAGCAACTCTTGCTTCCTAGAGCTGTATAGCGGTGGCTTCATGGCCCACAGTGCCACCTAAAACCAGTCAGTGCTGCCGTGTATGCATGTCACGGTGGTTGCTGTCCGTGTCTGTCGGTCTGGTCCACTGCAGCGCGAGGCTCTGCGTTGGAGCTGGTGAACAACAGCGATCAGTTGCAGGACGCCACACGAGTGACACACCCCGAGTGACCTTGACGAAGCACCAGTCGTGAGCGTCCTCGACGCATCGGTGGCACCGACTCTCAACACCCCAGTTTTGGATGAACAGCTCCATGGCCTTCGAACTTCTACAGCGTGGGGGGTGCTTTCTGAAAAGAATGGAGAAATGGGAAATGGTGGTGGTGGTGGTGGTGGTGGGGGTGGTGGGTCAGACGTAAAGGCAACGAACCATGGACAGCCCCAGCACAGCTGCAATCTTTCCTGCTGGTCTTTTGGTGCCCCCAAGGGGGCCAGTTTTTGCCAGAATTTGCGTCCAAAGATGTGGGAGTCGAGGCATTTTCGGGACCAACCCCAAACCTTTGTCACAAATGTCCTTCTTTCGTGTGAAAGAAAGGCTCATTTCCGGCCTATGGGTATGGACAGGATGAGGTAGCGTCCTGCGAACCCATGTCCGGTTCTAACGTCCTTGTTCGGGCAGGATGCTCTTGGCCGACGGGGGGTGCACAGTGCACTGGTAGCCACTTGGATGGTGTTTTTCAGTGTCAGCGGCTTTTCTGCGAATCGCAGCGGATCCGAAACAAGTTGATTAGGAGCCAAGGGCATCGCTACGAACGGAGCAAAGGGCATCGCTACTAGGAGCAAGAACGCTACTAGGAGCAAGAAGGCTACTAGTGACCATCATTGTGCGAAGAACTTGAAATTATATACCTGCCTCTCCACCTCTCTCTGTGTGTTGTGAAGAAGGTGATGTTGTGAAGCCGATGTTGCTGCTGTGAAAAGGATGATCTTGTGAAGACCAGATGACGACCTGCTCAAGATGGCGGAGAAGTCGGCCATGTTGGTCTCTGAAAACACCTGCTCGCGCTCCCGACCGTCGACACGGCTCCTTGCATTCTCCCTCGGCGCGGACCCAAGGCCACCGGCGACGCGGGCCGGCAAGCCACCGTGAAGAGGTCATCCTCTCAGTGGAGAACTCGACGACATGCATGGGAACTCGTCGAGCAAGCGAAGTTCTCAAGTACCAAAGGTCCGAAGTCTCAAAGCTTTACCAGTCTGGACAATTGGAAGCTTTGTCAGTCTACAATTGGCCCTCTCCAAGCATGGAATGTGAAATGTGGGATTCTCATATTCTCGTCAGTGTTTTAGGAGGGCACCAAGAACCGCTCCGCCCAGGCTAGCCGAGCGCTTTCGTACCTGGGGGAAGTTCATCTTCCTTGCAGGTGGTCTGCACCCTCGAGTGGCTCGGTGGTTGCTGCTCTCGCACCGCTGGAACATCGGTGACCGGAACAGCACCCCTCTGGTCCCATGGTATGGTTGGGCACCCAAAACGGAATTAAATCAGCACAGATCCCCAAACAGTTTCAGCCAGATTTGTCTTGAACGTTTGTAAACCGTTGAGACTGACCATCACAAGCGGCAGACGCGTCAGACGCGGCTCTTCCCAGTCAGCTGACCCCCCGGCTTGGGCTCGGTGGATCGAACCGAGTCCTTTCCGCTTGGAACCACATCAGGATTGGCCATCATGAGCACTGTTTCGAGGTTTGAGCCCAAGAAAGGCTGAAAGGTTATGGATGGTGTCTTTTGAGGTGAAGACTACAAGGTTTTTATTGCAAACAGGACAGTTCTGAATGCCCTTGGTTTTTCACGTCTCCAGTCAGGTCACACGGGTGGAAACGACACCTGGACCTTGGTGCCACAGGGTAGCGGACCGTGTCGACACCCAGGTGCAGCTCTTTCGAGGCTTGGACGAGCTCCTGGAAGGCCCAGCCTCCGCCTCCGTGCCTCGCGCAAAGCGGATGCCACGGTTTTTTCCCGCAAGGACCCTTTTGCGGCCGCGGCCTTACTAGGAACAAGAACGTAACAAAGGGCATCGCTACGAACGGAGCAAGGACGCTACTAGAACCTCCTGGCCTTACTACTAGGAACAAGAAGCTACTAGGGGCCCCTGGCCGCACTACTAGCAACAAGAACGCTACTAGGTTCTTCATGCACGAGTTTTTCATGCGAGTGAGGCCTCAAGCAGGGCTTTTGTTTGAAAGGGGTCGGGGAAGTGCCTCAAAAGGATGTGGGGCAGTTTTCCTGGGAGAAGCCATCAAACTCAGCGATTTCAAGCTTAAGCACAGGCTGTGGGATTGACAAAAGCCCAAAAGTCTTACCAAAGAGATTCCTCGAGCAATACTTGGAAAAAGGAACTGAACAAAGGAACATGAAATACTTTCAATACCCAGACACTCCATGTATGCCGTATATGCCTACATTGGGGTGGTTTGGGGGGTCAATGTAGGCATATAGGGCATACATGGAGTGTCTGGGATATGCAACTTTCTAGTGGTCTTTTAAGCCGTAGGGGAGACCCCTGCGCTCTGTGGACCTGTTTAGTCCTGTTTATAGTGGTTTCAGAGTAGTTGATGGCACAATCCCCCAAAAGGAGGTTCAAGTGAAGACCATATAAAAGACATCTTTGGGTTTGTCCCATCTTAAACCACTGTAGGAGTTCCACAAAGTCATAGTCATAGGCCTTTTGCAGAGTAGAAGGTGGCTGCGGCTGGTCTCTAGCATGTCTACAGGCACAGATCATGGTGATCTTTCTACCAATCCAGTTTGGAGCCACTCCACGCAGATGTGGACAGCTTCTGCGAGTATTCATTCAAGACTTGGGCCTTTGGTGCTGAATTTCACGACGTTTCGAAAGAGACAACATGCCAGTTGTTGAGGTTCATTGACAGTGGATTCATGTCGACGTCAGAGTTCGGCATTTGGAAGAGTTGGATGGTAGGAAGCAAATCGTCTCAGGTTCACGGCTGTATTTCAATTACATCTAAATCCTCTTCACACAAGGATTTGTATGCTGGTAACATCCTCACCACATTTGGACAAATATTGGTCTACGTCGTATATATATGTCCAGAGTGGGGACGGAAGAATCGTGCAACATGGGCTGACCTGTACTAGTAACAAGAAGCTAGTAGCTTCTTCACCGGCCCTTCGTGGATTTGCCACCCAGGCGAGTGATGAGGAGACCCAGAGACCGTTTCCGCTCCCGTTTCCGCGAGCGGTCCACTGGGCTTCGGGTGTCGGGTGGTGTCGTCAATTCAGCACAGGGTGTCGGGCTGAGGGTGTTCTTTTTGGCCCAAAGGGAACGATGTTCGACGTTCGGAGAGACGTGAAAGAATCTGCGACACCCTGATGGGCGTGTGATGGGCGTGTGAGTTCATTCTGAAGGGACAGAAAGAAGTGGTATGATCAGCACAACTAGACCAAACTGGCAATATGATGTGCGAAAACCTCCCTCACAAATGCAAGGGTTCGTCTGGCTCTGTAGAGGATGCGGTGTGGACGGAAACCAGCAACAGCAACACGCTTGCAAGGAAGCGGAGCAAAAGCTTGTCGAGTTCATGCAGGTGGGGCTAAAGATTATCCCTTTGCACTCTAAAAGAACTTCCACCTTACATCAATAGCTTTCCACCTATTTACATCCAAGCCTCAGAATAGAGTTTCTTTTTCATCCACAAGGTGAAGTTCTTTGTGGGTGTCACTGGTGGGAGATCCTCGTGCGAAAGACTTGACACGTCTTGAAGACTGACACGTCACCAAACTGGAGGAACGTCTCTTGGAGTAGCCCCCCAAATCGATCAGAGTTCCCCAAGCTTCTCGAATAGGTTGTGTGTTTGTGCAAAGAAGAACAGGAGGCTTCTGACCCACAGGCATGGCACCACGCCGCTGTTGGTACTAAACCTGTTTCCTGTCCCAAGAAGTTCACGCCAAGTCAAGGATTGCGACGACCTGCTTAGCACCTGGCATCCAGGATAGCAATCCCACGTCATTTCCGAGGGTCACGTTTGGAAGATTTATCTCAACAGACATCTGCATTCGTCTTGTTCGGCATTGATCTTTGGGTCACGAGCGTCACTCAAAAAGAGATCCTCCAAAAACACGTCCACCGCATTCGATCACCATGGTTCACTGTAAAACAGTGAAACCGGGGATGGGTGGGTCATCTCGCAGCAAAGCTGGCTCCGGCAACGCTGATCAGAGTCGAAACTAAAGAGCTCCCTTCGTAGCGTCCTTGCTACTAGTAGTAATGGCCTCCAGCCTCCATTCTACTAGCGATGGCCTCCACCCAGTAGTGATGGCCTCCAACCTAGTATTGTCCTTGCTACTAGTAGTATTGTCCAATGGATGACAGAATGCAGCCTCTGAACAAGACATAGTGATGTGTCTTGGAGCCAAATTCAACCTGCAATCCAAGGGAAAGAACTGGAGCCAAGTGAAACGGTAGCAATACAGTTTCACTGCTGCCACTTCGTCCAGCCTTTAGACGGTCAGAAGAGAAGAAGCTGAGTATCAGCCAATCTGCATCCATCAACACCTACTGAGAACTCTCCAAAACGAGAACAACAACAAATATCTGACACATCCTATTTCATCCCAAGGCCCTAGAGTTGAACGAGTTGCATCCAAGGCCCCCAGCAAAAAACGAGAACTTTCACGGGCCCTTTTTCGATTTCGTTTACAGAAAGACGTGTTTCGCTGGGCGACCATATGGCTTAAGAAGAAGTAATAGAAAGAACACCGCAAAGACTAACACTTCTACTTGTCAAAAGAAAACGCTGGTTTTTCTCTTTTTTTCCAAGCGCTCCGACTCCTCCTACCGCTCCGGCAGGCGCACCAGTTGCCGCTCTTCGGCGAGGTCTCCGAGGTGCGGCGATCGCGACGCGTCCGCGAGGTGCGACGCGAGTCGAGGCGCCTGAGGGGTTGAGGGTCTTGGGGTCTTGGGGTGTGAAAGTGACACGTGAGGTGAAGCACGTCTCAATGGCTGAACCTTCAAAGGATCACTCTTTGCATCGATTTGTCTGGTTTTTGGAACATGGCAAGGGAAAAGAGATGAACATGAACAGGCTTTGTGAGGAAGTCGTGTTACAAGGGTTGAACATCCAAGCTGCACAGTTGGTTTTCCACTGCGGAAGGGTACTGGTCAAAGAGTGTTCGCTGTGTGGGTTCGCGCAAGAACTGAGGGTCAGCTTGGGTCAAATGAGAAACACTTGAAGGCCAACATCTTGGAGCATGTTTTGATGAGAGATCCACTGCGTTCTTTTTTGCCCATTCACTTGGACAGTTGGATCCCTGTCGTTGTTTGAGGTCGCAGTGATTCTTCTTTGACCTACGGCGATGTGTACAGTGCTGTTGCCGGTGGAAAGTTCCGCCCTGCTCCGCCCAGCAGAAGCTCGTGGCCAGGAGAACTTCTACCACTATGCGCCTAGGCGGCCTAGTTCAGGGCGCGACCCGCGGAGTTCGTCCAGGTCCAGGTTGCCGGGACCCGCAGAGTCGCATCTGGGGGGGTGTGGACCACGGATTTGGTGACGCTTTTCCTTTCTTGAATGTGCTTTTCGCAGCGCCAGAGCTTGGTAGCACCTTTCTTCTAAATACAACTACTACAAAAAGCATGGAAGAACCGTGTTTAGGCATACCAACAGTGATTTTCCGTTCGCTTCAGCGAGAGTCTAGGCCGCTTGCTTTGGTTTGGAGTGCCGTGAAGGTCTCATCCAGAGTCCAACAAGAGCTTCTCACTCGCAGATGAGTCAATCATTGATGAGTTGATCAGCCGACCATTCTACTACTACAGGGTCGAAAAGAGTAGATGGCACCATCCCCAAGTTCGATGGTTTATATGGACACCCCTTTAGAAGACATCTTTGGGTGCCAGTGCCCATCTACTCTTTTCACCCGCTGGCTGTATGTGTCACATCTCTTTCTTTTCCATACAACGGGGACCCGGCTCACCGTTCAGGTCGGCTGTTCGTTCAGGTCGGCTCACCGAATGGTTCACCCAAGGGTCGGGCGTCTTCGACCGGGACTCGGACCGTTGATCGGTCGGTCACCGGGTGGAACTGCCGGGGACGTGCGGCACGTCGACTCGAGTGAACAGACGCACGGGGACTGCCAAGACGTGGACTCGACTTGGGGATGTCTGGTGGATCTTTTGAGCGTCATGAAGCTGTCTGGCTTGGGAGTCCTTGTTTTGACTGCCATGTTTTTTCTTGGGGATGTCCGGATGTCTGAAGATGCAAAAAATGGCATGCCACTGCCTGCCGGGATCCATGTCAGCTTCGAATCTTTGAGTCTCATGAGCGCCTTCAGAAGCACAGGCCTCATGAGTTTTCAACCTTTTCGATCAAGGGAGGCAGCGCGCGTAGCTCTCCGCCGCGGCGTCCGCCGCGGCGTCCGCGCGGCGTCGGCGCGGCCACGCTGGCGCCGATGTGAGGAGACCAGTGGGGCTCGGGGCTTGCTCTGGGTGCTCTTCGCCGAGAGCATCTCGGTGCAGCCATGGGTGTGAGCGCCTCCTCGTGATCGCACGCGGTGCGGATCTGGGAAAGATCATGACAGATCTGGAATGCCAGGGAGTTGATTCAAATTGAAGTAGTGATGCCTCGTTGTTGGCAACTTCTTTTTTTACAATCAATCATGCATCATACTTTCCAGCCCAGCACATCCAAATCATCTCGGGGTTCTCGAATCCATGGCTGGGTTCACTTTGCATGCCCACAAAGATCTTTCTTGGGTCTATGCAGGCGTCACTTCCCCCGAAACTTAGAAACAACTTGCCACTGGTTGCCACTGTTTGTTGGACCACCCCACTCACCGAGCTTGCCAAACGCAAGCTTTCATTTTGATCACCCAGTCTTTTCCGGCTGTGGCTTCCGGCTCCCCCTCCAACCGGCCCGTGTCCCAAGTGTCCAGGCGGCGGCACGCCCTGCAGCAGCCGTTGCCGTCAGAGGGCCTACGAGCAGCAGGAGGCCCTGCGCCAGGTGGCTCACAGCCGTCGAGACGTGAAGGCGCGAAGCCGTCGGTCGAACGCCCCGAAGCGATGGTTCGGGGCAATGGTTGAATTTGCTTGATTTGATTTTTGTTTAGTTTATTTATATGTATATATCAAAAAAAGAAAACTATTTTTGTTTTTAACATCATCTCTCTTGTTGTTGGTGGTTCCAAAGTTTTGGAACTGAAGGTGTTGAACGCGGAAAATGATCAAGTTTGGACCAAGGTCTTCTCAGTCTTTTCCAACATTTAAAACAACGGTCCTCAAAGAAAGGAGGGACAGTTTCCTCATCACTGATCTCCATTGGATGCGTACGGACTCACTCTGATCTCCGTCTCTTCTATGACCCAGCAGTCTCTGTTAGCTGGTAGATGTGAATGACCACTGACCAGTGAAACCTGTTGTAAGCGAAAAACCAGAGGTTTTGTTTGCGAGAACACCAAATCACCAACACATTATTGTTCAGCCCTGGGCCGTCCAGCTGTTCAGCTACTGGTATTTTCAGTTGACGCTTTTGGAGCGGAATGGTTTCGCGCCACAGGGTTTCTCGGCGGAACCTGGCCGAGTCTGGTTGGAAGAAACCACTCTGGTGCAGCAAAAGCGCAAAAAACAGCTTGTTCCTTTTTTTTTCCGAACACTTTCAAACAGTGGTTTGACCTGAAACCAAACATCTAAGATCTTGGGATTCGTGTGCCTAAGCGCTTCTCTTTCGCTGGATTCTCTGTATCGTTTTGGTTCGATGCTTCGCATGATGCTCCGGATGATCTTTTCCGCGACGCTTTCGGCGGAGCCCCAACTGGTCGCTGTGGGGCGGCCTTTTTGGGGCTCATTGCTCAATGGGATTCAATGGGTCAATTCCTGACTTCGAAAAGCGAGTCAGTTGTCGATGTTTCGACTGAGACCATTTTTTTTTGTTTCACAGGTGTTAAAATTTCAAAAAGAAGCTATATCACCCGCAAAACCAGCCGCCTGCAGAGAGTTTTCCTTGCCAAAAGGGCAGTCTTACAGGTAGGTAAGAGAGAGAGAGAGAGAGATAGATAGATAGATAGATAGATAGATAGGACTTAGATAGACTTAGATAGAGAGAGAGAGAGAGATTGATTTGAGAGTTACAGCAAGTCCAGGATGGAGAGATACGGAGGATTGAGAGACGAAGGTCTTCTAATGGTTTTGGACCATCATGGGTCCATGATAGAAACAGACATTTTTCAGAAGGGCCTCTTTTTTCTCGGACGGTTTTGGGCTCAGAAAAGGTACAGCCACCGTCCACGTGCCCCGCCCGCGCGCGCGTCCTACCGCCCGCCCGCGCGCCTCACGCGCGCGCGCGCACGCGCGCGCGCGCCACGCGCCCGCAGCCTGCCATGGACCGTGGCCTCGCGCGGCCGGGAAGCCGACAGTACTCGAAGGGCATGAGGAGTTCCACAGGCACTTCAAGAGATGTCTGAGTGGAGCAACTTCTCACTTTGGAGGGCGAACAAAGAACCATCCCAGACAGGTGTGCTGTGGACCCAAGCACGGAAAACACATGTTCTTTACTTTCTTCACACGCCAAAAGAAGGAGGGGTGGAAGGAAAGCTTCTCATTCAAGCAAGCAATGCACTTCTTTTTGGGAGAACCTGTCTTCTTTTCTCGTTAGACCAGTCCTACAAATCGACACACGGCCTATAACAACCGTCCTTTCTTCGATGTTTCGCTGAGCGAAGGAGGGCCGTCCTTCGTCGGTGCGATGCTCCGTCCAGCTTCAGGGCGATCTTGGGGGGTTGGAAAGAACGATGGCATTTTGCCCATCTTGTGCCCAAATAGCGGGCTTTGGACATTGGGCATGCAGCAGGACAGCAACATGACAGGGAACACAACACGGTATCATCCGATGATTGCTGGACGGAGCACCTGGTTTTCACTCGGAAAGCGGGTGGCTGGTGGCAAATCTGTGTTGCGCACATGCGAGTTGCATGCAACTCTTGGTCACCGATAGAGCACGCGGGCTCTATCTACCGCTTACGTCTCTACGCAAAGCATCCGCACGCGGGCTCTGGGCTCGTACGTCTCAGCACGTCGCTTCTCCCGCGCAGAAGAACAAAGCAACACCGTGGCATCACATCTCTCAGGTCTTGCAAGACAATTAACTATAGCCAGACCACTAGCAAAATCTGTGATGTGCCTTTGAGGAATCCGATCCCTATCATCTCGCGCGCAATCATTGTCTCGTGGTCTTAGAATAAGATAGGAGAGATAACCCGGATGCGATTCCGCCCAAGTCCAATTGGATGCGTGGAGAATCTGCCGTGATACAAAGGTTTGCTTCGCTGTCAGGCTCAGTGCCTCGAAGGCCAGAGAGGCCTGAGAGCCGGGGTTCGGCGGCACCGAGCCCGGAAACGCCGCTGAGCCGCCGAGACAAAGCGAAAGCATGCACCCTGGGGCCTCTGGAGCTTGGGGATCTAGGCTCACTGGACAGTGACAAGGAGCGAGACGAGTGGGGGAAGAGCTGAGACAAGATGTGGTGGATGGTGGTGGATGATGGAAGCTCTGAGAATAATTTGCTGAGAGAATAATTAGCTGGCGATGATGGAGATAGAAGAGTGGGTGATTCTGCTCAGCAACTTCCACCTCATTCTGGTACGTTCACAAGTCACAAGTAACCATATAGGTGCCGGCGGGGAAGCTCTAGGCATGCTGGTCACTCTGCCTCACTAGAAGGTACTTTTCCTTGGTGCTTGACACTGAGCAGCAAACCAACTCGGCAGCGTTGTGGGACGACATCCGTACTGAAAAAAGAGGGATATGTTTGCTACTCATCCCATCCTTGGCAGTCAGGTGCCTAAGTGCTTGTGCACAGGTCCCAAGAAAGACTTTGGCTGTCGGGTCCAGCCAGTGGTTGGTTAATTCTCCATGAAGCCTCAGGAGGATGCCGTTGATTTGAACAGCCACTTGGTCTTTGTGGCGAGGGCATTGAATACTGCGTTCTTTGGTGATACAAACCAACGCCAGTTTACCATTTGGGGCAATCACAAGCACACAGGCATTTCCATTTTGCCAGGTGGTGCATGCAGCGGTCGAACGAACACGATCAAGTCGCGAGGTCGAACGAAGACGGGTCTCAACGGGATGGAGGTATCGAATGCGCCCGGATCAACACAGTGGTGTTCAGCTTACATATTCGTATTCCTGCGAAAGTGCTGGCTTTTGAAAAGAGACTGTCCTGAATGGGTATTTTGGCCGGGACCTTAAGGTGGAATGAGTAAGAGAAGTAGAAATGGTTGTAGAAGTCGTCGTCGTCGTTGTCGTCCTAGCAGTGTCAGTGGCAGTAGCAGAGAGAAGTGGTTTTACAGTCAAGTCCATAGAGGGTGTACATCCCAGAAAGAAGGGGAAAAAAAGGAAAAGAAAAGAAAGCAAGCAATGCCTCAAGAATACGGAAGAAGAAACTTAAAGAAACCAAAAATAAATAGAACACGACAACCATGGCCTCCACCCTACTAGCGATGGCCTGCAACCAACTAACGAAGGCCTCCAACCTACTAGCGATGGCCTCCAACCTACTAGCGATGGCCTCCAACCAACTAGCGATGGCCTCCAACCAACTAGCGATGGCCTCCAACCTACTAGCGATGGCCTCCAACCTACTGGCGATGGCCTCCAATCTACTAACGATGGCCTCCAATCTACTAACGATGGCCTCCAATCTACTAACGATGGCCTGCAACAAACTAGCGATGGCCTCCAGCCTACTAGCGATGCCCTCCAACCTACTAGCGATGGATCCGTCTGAGGTGCCCTCTTCCACTCTGAGCCTTTTGCGCCTGAAAGCCCGAACCATGCAAAGCGTCGGCCACGGCCGCGATTGGTGGAGCGACCGTGCCGCGGCGAAGACTTGGACATGTTGGGACATTTGTTTCTATTTTTCCTTGCTAGCTGGCTTGGATTGCTTTGCTTTGCTTTGCTTTGCTTCGCTTGCGTTGCTCGCGGTGCTCGTGGTGATCGCCTTGCTCGCGTTGCTCGCCTTGCTCGCCTTGTTCGCCTTGCTCGCCTTGCTTGCCTGCTTTCCAAGCTCGCTTGTTTGGGAAGAACTATCAGAAGAAAGAGACTCGTGATCATTGCTTTGCTCATTGCTGGATATGATCCGCTGGGTGAGGATTTTGTGAACTTAGCTTTATGATTGTACGCCAGTTCTTCTTTCTTTGTCTGCAATCTGTTTGTAGTTGCTTTCTTTATCCCGCAAGTTGCGGAATGGCCATCAAGTATCGGGTGGGTTTGCTCTGAACTGGAAAAGAAGACTCAGTCGCGCCCTTGCAAAAACTCTCCACATGCATTTCTGCAGTTTCGCTGTGTTCCTTTCTGCTCTCAGGTCATCAAGGAGCAGCACTCCACGTGGCGCACTGTTAACTCCGAAAGGCGAGTGGGGAAGGTAAGGAGGGTCACCATCGCAAGTGAACAGCTCTCGTTGATAAGTACTTGTTGTGGTTGTCCACCACTTCTCAGCAGTGGTAACTTGTTTTTGGATTCTTCTCAGCACTTGCTCCAAAAACAACCTTAACCAGGCTTCTGGACCCAGCGTACGGGTCAGCTCAGAAGGCCAGGGAACCTCTTCCGTTTTCTTACACCACGAACTGACATTCCTTCATGAGGCAGGAAGATGAGAAAACCAGTCCCCCTATGTACGCGCATCTTTGGCCGTCTCACCATTATATTCCTTATCCTCCACTCCTCATCCTCCCGTCGACCACAAACTTCCCCATGATCAGGCCAAACCTTGCCCCCTTCCACCATTTTACCACCCTAAGCCAAACCTCCAAACCTCATTCTTCACACTCTCGCAACAGTGCACAGGATCTAAGCCGGAGGAGGAGCTCACTTCCGCTGGCTCCTTCCGCTCCAACTGCAGCGACTTCCCCGAGACGCCGGAGACTTCACCCAGAGCACCGGAGCGCAGCAGCTCCAAGCGAGGACGGTCCCACGGTGTTCGTGTGGCACCGGGACGGCGTGACGTGCGGTGCCCAGTGGTATATATATATATATAGA